TGAATTTATCAGTCTTTTTCTTTATTAATAGTGCTTTTTTATGTCTTCAATAACCTAAAGTCATAAAGAGAATATATATTTTTTCTGTACGTAGCATGGGAAGATCTAATTTTATTTTATTTTTTTCTAAAGGATAGCCAAATGCCCCTGTACCAATTATTCAACTGTCTGTTTGTCACCACTCACTGATTTATAGTGTTGTCTCTGTCATCTGTCAAGTTCCTTTCTATCTACGGTTTGGTTCCTGAGTGCCGTATTCTGTTTCACTTACATGCGTGTCTATTTATGAAACAATACCGAGTTGTTTTATTTACCATGGCTTTAGAGGAAGTCTTGATATCTGGTAGGACAAGTTCCCCTCTCCATATTCTTAATATATAGAGTTATTCTTAGCCTGTTAATCTCCTATGTAAGTTTGAGATTTAGTTTGTAATATTCCACCAAGAAAGCTTGGTGAAATTTTGATTGGAATTGAATTATAAGGTCAGTTTGGCATAAAGTTGACATCCTTAATTTCTTTTGTTTTCCATCCTTTTATATTTTTGTTCTATTTCCTGGGAGATTTCTTCAATTTTATGTTGTAACTGTTCTACTGAATTTTCATTTCTTCTTTTGGGTTATTAATTTTCAAGAGCTCTTGCTTGTTCTTCGACTATACTTTTTTTATAGTAGGCTCTTTCTTGTCACATAGTTACACAGTTTTTTTCTTGAGATGAGAACTTTTAAGATTTATTCCCTTAGCAACTTCCAAATATACAATACAGTATTGTTAACTAAAGTCACCATGCAGTACTTACCATCCCCAGAACTTACTATCTTATAGCTTTTGACTACCTTCACTTATTTCTCCCATTCCCCACCCTCCACCTCTGGCAATCACCAGGGGGTCCTGGGATGGAGCCCCCGCATCGTGCTCCTAGCTCAGCAGGGAGACTGCTTCTGCCTCTCCCCCTGCTCGTGCTCTCTCTCTGCCTCTCTCTGTCTCAAATGAATAAATTAAAAAAAAAATAACTCTTAAAAAAAAAGATTATTGCAAACCTATGGTTAATTTCCAGTTATAAAAATTTTGAATTTGGCATTTTTTTGCCAGTGTTCTTGCTGCTTTTATGGAGGGAAGAATTTTTGGCGGTCCTTACTTTGCCATTCTGAAATTGTGTCTGTTCTTTGAAGATATCTTGAAGGATTATTCTCTCTCTCTCTCTCTCTTTTTTTTTAAAGATTTTATTTTTTTATTTGACAGAGAGAGAGAGCACATGAGCAGGGTGAAGGGCAGAGGGAGAAGCCTCCCCACAGAGTGGGGAGCCCAATGCAGGACTCCATCCTAGGACCCTGGGATCATGACCTGAGCTGAAGGCAGACACTTAACTGACTGAGCCACCCAGGCGTCCCTTATTCTTATATATGTTTCTTTCAGGATTTTTCCCTTCCCCCTTGATTTAGATTTCATCTTTTATGTTGTTTTTCTCCCCTCAAAAGATCACTTTTTCTTACGTTTAAGAGTTGGGGGCTACAAAGCTTATTAGAAGCTCTGAGTGTTTGGGTTCGCTCTTTCAACTGTGATCTTCACTGTAGGGTTACCTGGCTGGATATTTGAAAGATATGTATATAATCCTCCTATCTGCCCCAACTAACTTAAGAAGAGGTAGAGAATAGAAAACCTTATAAGAGTTGGTATCAAAACTCCAGGCCCATATTGCTTCACCAATGAACAACAACAAAAAAATCCAAGGAGCAAATAATTTCAGTTTTATATAAATTCTGCCAGAGAATGGAAAAATCTTTTTTTTTTTTTTTTTTACAATTTATTTATTTGAGAGAGAGAGAGTGAGCACGAGCGGGAGGGGCAGAAGGAGAGGGAGAGAGAATCCCAAGCAGATCCTGCACCAAGCCTGGAGCCGACATGGGGCTGGTCCCAGGACCCCAAGACCACCACCCCAGCTGAAACCAAGAGTCAGACGCCCAACCAACTGTGCCACCCAGGTGCCCCTTAGATTGGAAGAATCTTGATAACATATCAAACTGATAAATCTTTATGCTAAATTGATAAAGATACAAGAAAAGATAATTATAGCCAATCTCACTAATGAATATACATACAAAAGAATTATATAAAATATTAGCCAACTCCATGCAGCAAAATATAAAAAGATGTAATATAAAACGCCTTTATACAATAGATGCCAAGTGAGTTTAACATTAGAAAATTAATCTGTTAATTTTAAATTAGTGTAATCCTATGTAAGTTTCTTGAATATGTAAGTAGGACTCCTAAAAAATCTATACTATATGAGAAAGACAGTTTTTAAAATAAAAACTGTTTTTATATGCATATCCAAAGATATATAGTAATTGTCACATATTAGTGACTTGACCTCTGCATTAAAACTGGGATTGTTAGGTCAGAAATTTCATCTACATCTTGAAAGACTTCTATTTAAAAGCCATATTACTGTAAGTAATAATCATAAAGTTAAAATCTCACCAATGAATAGAATAAGCCCTAACTGATCCATCACTGATTTTCCTGTTGTTCCTTTTCATAGGATTAAATTGAAAGTGTCACAGAATAAAGGACATGCTCTTTGTTTGGTGTAATGGAATGATTGCATGTTGTTTTCTGTGCTGTTTGTCAATAGAATGGGAATCACAAGTCATATTTTATAAGTTAATTTCATGAGACTTCCCTATACTTCAGTTTCTTTTGCTTTATTTATTAAGTATTGTTTGAAATAATTACCATCAACTACAATACAAGCATTTTTGGTTATAGATTTTATTTTGTTTTTATTTCAGATTATTTGGTTTACATTGTGATTAACCTTGTAAATTGCTGTTTATTCATTTAAAAATATACATAGTACTTTGTGTGGATGACAGAAAGTTAGAGATGATGTGTCAGTCAAGAGGGCATATATTTTAATTTTTATTTTTTTAAAAAGATTTTATTTATTTATTTGACAGAGAGGGAGAGAGCACAAGCAGGGGAGGTGGCAGACAGAGACAGAGGGAGAAGCAGGCTCCCCACTGAGCAGGGAGCCCGACGCGGGGCTCGATCCCAGGACCCTGGGATCAGGACCTGAGCCGGAGGCAGACGCTTGACTGACTGAGTCACCCAGGTGCCCCGAGAGGGCATATAATTTAACAGTGAATTTGAATTGATGCTGGCACTATTGAGTGCTTGAAGGAGGGGGACCTATCTTGCAGAATAAAAATAGTATCTTATCCTTGTATAGTGCTTAATGCTCTTCGAAGTACTTTCGTATATGTTATGGTGAACTTGGATGACATATGGCTATTCATAAAACCATTTATTCCTGAGTCCACACTGCCATTGAAAAACTGCGAGTGCTAAATGCTGGTTGTAGTCTGCTCTGGTGCCCAGCTTTGCTCTTAACTGTGCTAGTTTAAGGACTGAAAAATGTATGAGTAGATGCGCTTCGGTATATTAAGACGTTTCTGTTACCTGAAGAAAATCATTCTTAAGAGTTCGTGCGTAGTCAGCTACAGAGGGGTAATCTCGTGAGTGAGGGGGTGGAGAGAAGGAATCATGTGAGGTTTTGTTCTTCATCCTTTGACTGTGGACGGTACTGCCCGGTGCTTTCCAAGTTAGAGTCCTTTACAGAGAATTGTCTTTGGAGCTTGCGACGTTCTCAGTCACATTCTGGTGATACATTTTGAGTGGCCGGCAATACTTGGAACCATTTTAGATCCCTATGCGTGTGTATGTCCCTGAATAAGCTTGTGCTGGTGAAGGAAGGTGGGAAAGGAGCCTGCGTCAGAGACCTGAGTGGGAATGATGAACGTAGACACTTGACTGTGGAAAACACTGGGATGTGTGCGTTAACTTCATGTTTGAACTTTCATAACATTCAACTCTGATTTCTGAGTTTAGCTGGAAAAGGAGATTGAGAGATTTCAGTAGAAGACTACCTGATGTTATTTTTCTTTCAGTAATACAACAAAGATTTGAAAACTTGAAAACTGAAGGAAATGAAACACAGCCATCTAGTGGATGCAACTTGAAGAGCTATAACCCTAGTTAAAGTACCAAGAACTCACATAAAAACCTCTCAAGGGTCGTTATTAGGCATTCAAGATAATGACTTCCCCTCACACAAAGGAGCAATGTACATTTGTATTACAAAATATTTTAAAATTTTAATGAGAGGGGAAAACATTATATATGGCAGTTGGACTACAGCATTATGGAAATACCCTCAGAGGTCAATTAAACTAGCATAACATTATAGTAAGCTATATACATTTTCAGCCGTAACATGTGTTAATCAGAGCTCTAAAATTGTAAAACTCCGTAATTCTTTTTAAAAAATTTTTATTTTTAAGTAATCTCTATGGTCAACTTGGGGCTCAAACTCACTACCCTGAGATCAAGAGTTTCATGCTCTACCGACTGAGCCAGCCAGGCTCTCCAAAATTGTAAAACTCCAGTAGTGCTTTCTGAATATGGGTATATTCCAAAACACTGCTGGAATATCTAGGCCTCTCTTGCTTATGAGGGCAAGTGTCTATAAATCCTTGAACAATGTGGGTTTGAACTGCACGGGTCCACTTACACGTGGATTTTTGTATCAATGAATATGTAGGAAAATTTTTTGGAGATTTTGGACAATCTGAAAAAACTTGGAGATGAACTGTGTAGCCTAGAAATACTGAAAAAATTAAGAAAAAGTTAGGTATTGTAAGAATACAGTACATAATACATATAAGCATACAAAATACGGGTTAATTATCAGTAAGGCTTCCGGTCAACAGTAGGCTATTGGTAGCCAAGTTTTTGGGGAGTCAAAAGTTATATACAGATTTTCGACTGCTCATGGGTGGGCGTCCCTAACCCTCATATTGTTCAAGAGTCAACCATATAAGTGAACCTATTACTATGGTTGAAGCACAAGCTTAGTTACTCACTGTCTTCTGTGAAATACATTTTTGTGATTGTTGGCTTATAAACTTTATTGATGCAAAAATGAATTATTTTCCAGGAGCAAGATAATGCTGTACAAAATATGCACAAGAAGGTAGAAAAATTAGAAACTGAGCACATGGACTGCTCTGATCTTCTACGGCGACAAACAAGTGAACTTGAATTTAGCACTCAACGAGAAGAACGTCTTAGAAAAGAATTTGAGGTATATTTTCTCATCCTTTTAAGACATATATGTGGTCCAGTCAGTAATTTAAGGTCGGAGAAAGTTTTACTCTGCCATAAAATATAATACTAAATTTTTCAGCATTTATTTATATAGAATATCTGGTTTCTTTGAAAACTTTGTATTTGAGTAAATTATATTTTGCCCCTAATTTTTAAAATCTGTCCATTTTTAACAGTTAATTCTCATGGAATATTTGGAAAGTTTGAGGGTAATTGCTTCCGTGATAAGGTTGAGGAAGCAACACAGGAAGAATTTTGTGCACATAATATTAAATTCTAATTTTGTGGTTTGGATCATGTCCTAGCTGCATAGTTTTATGGAATGCATTTCAGGTGAGACTTTAGATGGGAAAGAAGCATCAAGTTACAAATGAAAGTTAAATGATTTTTATGAGAGAATGATACTGATGATCACTTTAATTTTGAGAGAAATCTATTTGTTAATTCTTTAAACTTTCCTTTTGTTTATGGGAAATTAAGTATTTCAATAGGTAAAGAAGCTTTTTTTAAACATAATTTGTAATTGTTATTAGGTAAATAAGCATTTATAAAGAGAATTCAGTGATAAAATCCTAGAAGTACTCTGGTTAAACTCATTGCTGTCATTTAACATTGTTCTGGAAATTTTAGCCAGAGAAGTATATGATGGCAGAGCAGCAATAAGTATAGTTGTTAGAAAGAAGGAGGCATGACTCTTATCGTTTTCAGATGATACACTTATAACTTGAATAGTCAAGAAAATCAACTTTAAATTATTGACACTAGTAAGAACATTCGGTAAGGAGGCCAGGAAGAAAAGAATATGTAACAATTTTACTTACATTCTTACATTCCAGCAATAAGCAGAGAACAAAACATGTAAAAATTTTTCTTCACCACAGTGACAAGAATAGGAATATAATTAAATACAAACACATTAAAAAGTTACAAAATTTAACTGAGAGTCTTCAAAGAAAATGGTGAGACGTTTTGGAGACACTCAACACTAAAAAGATATGAATCCTTCCTAGATTATATTATGGGTTAAAACAGTTCTAATAAAAAACTCAGTGGAATTATTTTGGGAATAAAGATTCAGAAATTCATGTGAAAGACTGAAGAGCTACTACACGAGAGTCTCTCAAACATTTTTAAAAAGATTTTATTTATTTGAGGGAGAGAGGGAGAGAGAGAGCCTGAGCAGGGGAAGGGGCAGAGGAGGAGGCAGAGAATCTCAAGCAGACTCTGCGCTCAGCATGGACTCTGACGTGGGGCTCCATCCCATGACCAGAGCTGAAACCCAAGAGTTCGACGCTTAACCAACTGAGCTGCCCAGGCGCCCCTAAAATATTTCAATAAGCGTAATGAGTGGAGACTTACTATATCAGAAGTTAATACCTATTATAAAGCTTTAGTAATGTATCAGTTGTGGTTTTTTGATTGTATGCAACAGAAACCAACTTTGGTTAACTTCAATAGGGAATTCATTGGAAGAATATGGGAATCACATATGCAGAATTAGGATGGAAGCTAGGGAATCAGGCTCAGAAATGAATCTCAGAGCATCTCCAGAGGTCTTGGGAACAGAAATGATGGATGGAGTTAGGATGAATTGGTATCAATAATTTTCATTTTATTTGTTTACCAGTAACAGTTGGTATCATTCCTTTTGTAAATTTATTTAGGATTCAAATCCCAAAGAGAAAATATTTGATTGAAAGAGGTAGTTTGCCCCAAATAAATCTCTCAGTTCTACTAAAATTAAAGCCCCCCCCCCAAAGAAATTTTTATAAAGAAAATTTGGTTTCTGGTACCAAAAGAAGGGGAAAAGAGATTGTTGAGTGGCCAAAAAGTACAGTACCTCTAAGACCAGATTTTCAATGGTACAGAATTGAAAGGCCAGTAGTAGACTTATAGAATATGTATAAAATTTAGTATATTAAGATACCATTTAAATCAGTGAGAATAGGAAAGATTATTCAATTCATGTTGAAACATGGTTAACTATTTGGGACAAAATAAAATTAGATTCCCATCTTACATAATTTTGTAAAATAACTTCCAGTTGGATTAAAAAGAGTAAAAATATTAAAAACTGATAAAGAAGAAAAAAATTTAAGTGTTTTTTGCTCTCTGAGTGCAGTATGACATTGTTAATCATAAAAGCAGAGGAACAAAATCAATAGATTTATAGCTTTGACTAGGAAAAATTAAAGTCATGTATAAGTAAATTCTCCACTTCAAATAAAATAAAAAGACAGATGGGAAGAATATTTACAGCAAAAGGTAAATCTATCTCTATCTCTGTATCTCTCTATCTAAGTTCCCCCCACTATTTGGTAAGAAAAAGAGAATCTTTATGAAAAAAATCTACCAAGGATGTTGAAGAAGATGTGAAAGATGTTCAGATGGACAACAAACATGTGAAAAATGCTTAACCTCACTAGGATGTAAGAAAGGTTATAACACTCGTGATACTAAGACTAAAGAAAAAGCACCCAGTGCCGGTGAGGGTGATGTTAAAAGTTCCTGGGTCTTGCTGGTGAAAGTGCGAATGGATAAAGCCTTCAAGGAGCTCCGTTTGGCAAATTTATGTGGTCTTCCTCAGAAAATTATCACACCCTTCGAGGCCTCTGGCTCATGGCTCAGCAGTCACCTGGGACTTCATTGTCTTCTGTTGGCTCCTCTGTTTCCTAGGTCCCCATGTGTTTTTTACTCCAGTGGCGTATGTAGTCTAGTAGCTGCTAAGAAAGGGTATGCGAGACCTAAGTTTTAGCTGATCTTGCATTTCTGAGTGTGATTTTTATGAATAAAGTATTAGAGTAGATATACTTTGGCCGAATATAGGTTTTAATATATTAAAATAATATAATTTTAAGTTTAAAGTCATTTTCTCTTAGAATGTGATGGCCTTACCTCCCTGGTTCCCAGTCTCTTCTGTTGCTGCTGAGAGGCCTGATGTTATGCTGCTTTGTGTTTCCTTGTTGGTGATCTTTCCTCCCTCATTCTTCTCATCTCTCTAAGTTTTCTTGGTCCTCTGTTTTTTCAAACTTTTTTTTTTTAAATGGAAAGCTTTAAACAAATATATTTTAAAAAGTGAACAGAATAGTATAATGAACCTAATGTACCCATCACCAGCTTCAACAATGATCTGTATGTGGCCAATATTTTACCATTTATACCCGCACTCACTTCCCTCTTCCCATATTATAGTGAAATGAATCCCAGTCACATATTATTTTAACTATAAATATTTCATTATAATTTTTAAAAAATAAGGGGTCTTTATTTAGAGTCACATTATCAATATTAAAACTAAGTTAACAGTAATTACTTAATACAATCAAATATCCAGGCTTTATTCAAATTTCAAATTGCTCCACAAATGGTATAAATGTGTGTAAGAATGCAGTTTGAGCCAGAATTCCAGTTACACATTACAATTGGTTGGTATGTTTCCCTCTCTTTTAAAGATTTTATTTATTTGAGAGAGAGAGAGTGCACGTGCGTGCACGAGCCGGGAGAGGGACAGAGGAAGAGGGAGAGAGAGAAGGAGAGAGAATCTCAAGTAGACTCCACACTGAGCTCAGAGCCCTACAGAGGACTCGATCTCACAACCCTGAGATCATGACTCCAAGTTCACGACCTCAGCTGAAACCAAGAGTCTGTTGCTCAAACAACCGAGCCACCCAGTCACTCTGGTTGATACATCTCTTAAATTTCTTTTCATCTACAGATTCTCCATCTCTGTAGCTTTCTTGTTTCCTTATATTTGTGAGGACACCAGGTTATTTGTGCTATAGAGTTCCCACTGACTCTGCAATTGCAGAACATCAAATATAAACAGTGTTTCTTAGTATAGATCTTTTTTTATTCATGGTGACATTTTAGTTAGGAAACTCATGTCCTTCATTTTGAGGAATTCTCTTATGTTATTTCTTCATAACTTTTTCCTCGGGGCTTTTGCTGTTCTTTCTCAGGCTTTTATTATGCAAGTGTCAGATCAACTGGATTGATGGTTTACTTCTTTTACCTTTCTGTTGCCTTTCTCTTTGTCTTTTTGTTGTGGATTCTTGGGAGATTTACTTGACTTTACTTTCTAACCTTCTTATGAATATTTTCCTTTTCATTTTTAATTTCTGAGAGCTCTTGTTCTCTGTACCGTTTTTTATAGCATCCTGTTCCTATGACTACTATATTCATTTGTTTATTCAGTAAGTATTTATAGAGAGTATTAGGAACACTTTTGGGTGCTCGAAGCATTAGCAGTGAACAAAACAAAGTCTCTTCCCTCTTGAAGCTGACACTGTAGTCAGGGAGAATCACACATTAAACGACACAAAACATGATAAGCCCTGTGGAGAGTAATAAAGCAGACTAGGGTTGGGGCACCTGGATGGCTCAGTTGGTTGAGTGCCTGACTCTTGGTTTCGGCTCAGGTCATGATCTCAGGGTCATGAGATCCGAGCCCTGTGTTGGGCTCCATGCTTAGCAGAGAGTCTGCTTGAGATTCTCTCCCTCTCTCTTTGCCCCTCCTCCCCAACTCTCTCTCTCTCAAATAAATAAATCTTAAAAAAAAAAAAAGCAGGGGAGGTGATGAGTGATGAGACAGGATGGTTACCCTTTTATGTTAGTGGTCATAGGGTACTTGATAAAAATGACCATTTGAATAGAGACCTGAAGAAAGAAAGGGTCAGCCATGTGGATATCTGGACAAAAAGCATTGTAGGTAACAGGAATAGAAAGTGCAAAGGCCATGAGATGTGAGTGTGCTTGGAATGTTCGAGGAATAGCAAGTAGGGCATTGTGACTGAAATGGAAAGGCTAGGATATACAGAACGGTAGACAGATTTTACAGTTTTGATGGTCTTCTGTAATTCCTTGTAAGAACTTTGGCTTTTTGTCTGAGTGAGGTGAAAGTCATTGGAAGGTTTTGAGCAGAGGCCTGACATGCTTCCTCTTTTTTGTTTTAAAAGCATCATTCTGTATACTCTTTGG